TTACATGCGTCAAACCTTAACCAACCTTTGAGGAGCGCAAAACCCTAGAGTCTTACTCTGATCGTCCTAACATTGAATACTTAGAATGTTTCACAAGGACAAACACTTTTTCACGATTCAACTGTTATTGCTAGGCCTTCACTAGCTAACTTTAGTCAGTAGAGTTCACACACTACTTAACCCTATAACCACTCTTACCTGCTGAACTTAAATAACTTGTCATACTACATATCAAGATCCTACTATCATTTTCCATACACGGTCTTGATGTCAACTGCCAAAGATATCACAATAATTCTTGACTTTCTAACACTGATCTTTACGCATCTGTTGTACAACTCTGATTCAATACCCATCTACTATACTTGACAGTTCCTCATTGGCCTTTTAATTTGCGCACACTCTACTTATCAGATCATGCATCTAAGGTACACCATAACTAAAAATCGGCCACTTGCCTAGTGAAACTAGCAACATTTAGCTTTCCTAGGGAGTACACCTCACAAAGCAAAGATCTCACAGCATTGCACATTGAATTAAGGATTCTAAGACTTTACGTCTTGTACTCACTAACGCTTACAACCATTAAGCTATCTGATGACAACTAATGCTAGTCAATTGACTCTTAAGGTGCTTGATCTCCTTTAGTCTTAAACACTAAAATCCACAGTATTACACAATACTACAAACTATTATGTGTTGTATATAGCTCGTGCTCATATATCAATATGAAGACAATAAGGAAGAAGTTTGGGGTTGAAAACTCAAACTCTCACTTAATCATACAAGTAGACTTTTTGTTGTAGTCTGGAGTCACAAAGCATCACATGACTTACACCTTACAAGTCTACTAACGAAGTTACCTTTGATGGAACCTAAACATACTCACGTTAGGAACGTCCATCAATTAACCCTACATAGTTAGCATCTTAGTTTAACTCTTAGAGGTTTTGAGTAACCCATAACATACGATCAACGATTATAATACATGACACTCGACATCCTTAATTCTTTTCTTAGGGATATACATATCTAAATCCAAACTTAGAATTACTTGAGCCCTACAGAGAGTGGTCACATAAACCATTTACTCTCAATGTAGACATACTCTCCTATAATCTCATTCGAATTCTTGAATAACCACCTAAATACTCTCTTATAGAACACAATAGGGTGAATGGTTCTACTAATAAACATCTCCTTAGAGCCCTCAACTCAACAAGAACGATGAAGGGTTATCTGAACCTCATGACTCACAACTCATGATCTTTCACATAACACCCTTAGTACCTAGGGTGAAATTTTAGGACCGTTGTATTGGAACTTACATCCTATTAGCTTACTCCACGCAAGTACTTGAGGGCATATGTGCCCAGTTAGCAACTGAAGTGCCTTGGCACTAGCTGAGAGATATCCTGATATTTCTGGCAATAAGGTGATCTTTATATTGGCAAGAGTAACCTGAGTATTCTTAACACTCTCATAGAGGTCTCTACCTCCAAAACTAAACCTGGGATTACTAAATCTCTGTGGGACATCACACAAATCCTTTACTATCGATACGAAGACGTACCTATAGTCTCGTAGCTAACGAGATCACATGCAAGGATACTCCCTTAGGGAACACATAAGGGTGGTATATTTGACGACTACATATTTCTTAGAGTTAACTTTCAACTCAACTGGGAACAACCATTCATATTCATAAGGTCCCCATACGTATCTAAACTTACACCTCCAAAACCAAAGTAACACTTGTGCTTACAACTTCCCTTAGGCCGACTATTATAATCGAGTTCAACTTTCATAGAGAAAGTATAATTCGAGTCGGGCTTTTCCAAGCGCTTTTAAATTGTTTTGAGTTAACAACGATAATCGTAGTTAATCCGAACAAGGATTGATATTTCTAAAATAGATTTGGGAAAATCAATCACCAAAGAAAAAAGTGAGCTATAAGGATTGAACCTTGCAGACTAAAACTGACATTTAACTAGAGTAAAATCCTATTCAAGGATCGATTGGAATTTGAGGCAAAGTGAAAGCCTGAGGCTATTTTTAATCATCTTGAATTTTCAATTTAAATTTCTTTTCTTTAATTATTTTACTTTCTTTACAAATCTTTCTATTAACCCCCTTTTTACTTTTATTATTATTTTCACCCAGTTCAGGAATCAAAAGCAATCTACATCAACATCTTCTTAAGTCCTAGTTGATCGAACCTTACTCTCTCTATACTATTTCATATTTTCTATTTTATATTTTTGAGATTAAGGCTGTTATTTGACATTAAAATGACGCGTGTCAAATTGGCGTCGTTACTAGGGACTTTAGTAAAAGTTACTGATCTTTGTTTTTTCATTTATGACTAGGGAAAACCAAGACGCATTAGAAGAATTTGATCCGTAAATAGAATCACAATCTAGAAGAATCCACGAACAAACACTTCGAGAGAAAAGAAGATGAAAAAAAGAAAAATTAAATCCTGAAGGATCAACCAACATTGATGCCACACAAGAAGAATCAACGCATTCCATTGAAGCATCATCACACGCCGAATCACACTTTACACTACCCAAAGTTGAAGTTGATGCACAAACACTGGAACCGATGGCTGATCAAACAATTCGCGAGTTAGTCACAACACCCGTGGTTGAAAAACCTCTCTGCATCACCTTCTCTCAAGGAGAAATACCTTTTCAACAAAAAATGGGGCTCTTTCATCTCCTTGCCACCTTTCATGGACTTTTCAGTGAGAATCCACACAATCATCTCATGGAGTTTCATATGTCTGTTATAGTATGAAACCACATGAAGTATTCGAATGCCAAATTAAATTACGTGCATTTCCCTTTTATTTATCTGGTTTAACAAAAGAATGACTTATTTACATACGAATTTAATCAATATATGGTCTGATTTAAATCGTATCTTTCTTGACAGTTCCCAATAGAAAAGGCGGAAAAATTGAGAAGAAACATCTTGGGGATTAAACAAAAAGATGGAGAATCGCTTTACGGCTATTGAGAGCGATTCAAAAAGCTTTGCGCAAGTTGTATGCAACACGAATTAACTGAGAAAATGCTTCTCCAGTATTTCTACGAAGGACTGCTACACTTAGAGATGAAAATGGACGATGCTTCTAGTGGACGAACTCTCGTCAACATAACACCAAACGTAGCAAGGGAATTAATTTCAATGACATGATCTCGAAATTACTCCAATTTCAAATTTGCTCAATATGACCATTGAACTATTTAAATGGTTTTAATATTACCACATGTCGTTAACATTTAATGGAAATGTTTACGTGGTAGTTAACAAAATTGATATAATTATGACATAGGTCCTTGTAAAGTTACATGTTTGCAGCGTTCGAACCTTGCTTTGTTTTCTTCCATTTTTGGTAACTACTTGGATATGATTTATATCCTTGGATTTTTCATTTGATGCAATTTGATCATGATTCTATTTTTAATTTTTCTAATGCCTTAATTTGAGAATTAACTTTAAAATATTTTATTATAATCATGTATTAAATTTATAGATTAAAACCCTAGATTTTATAATTAATCAATTTGATCACCAAGATTAAATTTAATTCTTAATTTTTAATGAGGTCCTAATTTCAATTTATTTGAATAAATTTATTTCACTAATCAAATTGTGACACATGTCACAGTATAATAAGAGGATTTTTTAAATTTTAGTTTAATTAATTTAAAAATAAAAATGTGGCACGTGTCACCTTTTGAATTGAAGTGAAGATACAAGAAGATGAGTTTTGACAGGAAAAAGAATCCAACTTGGGAAATTATTAAAAAAATAATTTAATATTCAAATTATAATCACAATAAAAAATATTTAGGATTCAAATTATAAATTTATCTTTTGATTTTAAATTGTACTCGTGAGTTCGGTTATGTCAAATAATTTTTAATATAATTATATATATAATCATTAATAAATAAATATTAAATAAATAAATTTAATTTAAAAATATTAAAATCTTAAATTTATTCTAAATAATATATTAAACTTTTTTTAACAATTTAAGTGTTATCATATTCTCAATTAGCCTAGATTTATGTCATAACTTGTCTATTTTTATTTTTATCGTTAACTATAATATATAAAAATATTTTAATTGATTCTTAAATATTTGATTTAGCCATTAGTTAAGGCTTTGCTTGGTTACTAACTAATATTGAGTTTAAATGCAATTAGGTTATTTTAGTTTTATTTTTCTGCCTGAACCTGAACAAGTTATATAATATATGTATTATCTTGATAACAAGTGTGAGAATTGACTCAACGATTAATTCTAAAATCTAAGGTATTTAATCTATAAATTTAATACACGACTAGAATAAAAGATTTCAAAGTTAATTCTCAAATTAAGGTATTAGACAAATTAAAAAAAACATAATCAGGATCAAATTGCATTAAATGAAAATCTAAGGAAATAAATCATATACAAGTAGTGACCAAAATGGAAGAAAATGAAGCAGGGTGCCAACGCTGCGAATACGTAACTTTACAAGGACTTGTACCCTAATTATATTAATTTTGTTAACTGTCATGTAAACATTTCCGTTAAATATTAACGGCAGGTGGCTATATTGTAACCATTTAAATATGTTAGTGGTCATATTGACACTAATTTAAAAATGATAATCATTTCGAGAACAAGCCCATAGTTGGATGGTCATTTATGTAGTTTACACTTATTATTATTATTATTATTATTATTATTATATTTATTATTACCATTATTTTTATTACTATTCTTATTATTATATTACATGTATACAATCATATTATGATTTAAATTTTGTATTTATAAGTTCGTTTAAAACTTAATGTAGTGTTTTTCTATTGAGATGATAATTGAGATGGTTTACAAAATTAATGACTCAATAGTTTTTTTTTGTTAAAAAAGGTACAAAGGGCTTCTTAACTGCCTGTTTTATCAATATTTAGAAACTTCTCAGCTTCCTTGGGGGCATTCTACAGAACGATTGTGCTCCCCTGAATTCTCCATGTTTGCTTGGTGATCATATCCGCTGTTTGATTGGCCTCCCTAGGTATGTGATTCAGTTCAATCTTCTAGTTTTTCTTTAATAATTTCTCTATGTGCTGCAGTATAGTAAGTTTCTTGTGTTTACTCGATTTGTTCATGACGTGGTTGATGGCTTCTCTGCTGTCATACTCTAAAATTACTTTTCTTTCTTCCTTCCTCCGCATAAAGCTTCTCCCGTGTTCTGCCGTTTGGTTCCGTCAGTATTAACCTTGCAGTATCCTCGGTCTGGTTTCTACCATTTGTATCGGTTGTTATTTCGGATTTGGGTATTTTCGATTTTAGAACTTTCTGTATTTTGAAGATCTTAGGTATTTCTTATGGCTTGTTGTATTATAGAATCTCTTTCGATCATTTCTGGGTCAAAAATCACCCGATTTCTTCTTTTCCAAATGTACCATATAACAGAGCTGAAGAATGTAGGCCAGTTCTCATTTTTTGGCGATGGGGATTGGGTTGTTTCGATATTCTCAATGATCCACTCCTTGATGCTGCTGCTCAAAAACTTATTCATTTTCTGGCTATCTACTAGTTCAGTCCAAATCAGTAGACTTTTTGGGCAGAATCTCAATATGTGATTGATATCTTCTGTCTCATAATTGCACATAGGACATCTTTCATCATTTGTCATATGCCTACGGGCTCTTTCAGCGTTGGCCAGTAGTCTGTCATTTCCTATAAGCCATAGAAAAGTTTTAATTCTGGGGATATTATTATGCTTGGCAATGGTGCACCAGATTTTTTCCTCCATCGAATTTATATTTGCTATTTTCTTGTAGGCAGATTTGACTGTGAAGACTCTTTTCTCCGAGAGAATCCAGCCTGGAGAGTCTACAATGCTTTCATCTACTGGAGGAGGAACAACTTGCATTTTATAAATGGTTTGTTCTGGGAGTAATCTATCAAGCTTGTTCCAGTCCCAGGTACCATTCTGGTTGATCATTTCCTTAACTTTGGATCTGTCATTCTCTACTTCAATTGGTTGGTTGCATAGTCTAGATAAAGGGCCATTGTTATCAAGCCATATGTCTTGCCAGAATTTAACTTGATTTCCGTTTTCAATGTTCCAGCAAATATTCTGTTTAAATTCTGTCCATGGGCTGCATATGTTGTTCCAAAGAGCTGATCCTCCCTTCTTTATTAACTTATCAGGAAGTATCTCTTCCATCTTGTATTTGTTTCTCATTACCTGCACCCACAAAAGATCATTTCTATTAATAAGTTTATAAGCTAATTTGAAAAGGAAAGCCTTGTTTTGGATTCTTAGATTCTTAAGTCCTTGTCCCCCTTCTTTGATTGGTTTACAGAGCGTGTCCCAGTTCACCATATGTATTCCTTTCTGTTCATTAGAATGGCCCCAGATAAAATTTCTGGTAAGTCTCTCAAGTTCATCACAAGTTCCTTTAGGAAGTAGGATGGACTGCATGGTATATGATGGGATTGAATTGAGCACTGATTTAGCAAGAGTAATTCTTTCTGCTATTGATAATGTCTTCGCCTTCCATCCTGAGAGTCTGTTCTTCACTTTCTGGATGATATTGCTATATGTTCTTTTATTGATTCTGTTGTGTAACAGTGGAACTCCAAGGTAATTCCCAAGATTGTAGACTTCTTTGATGCCAATCGCATTCGTAATGCTGATTTTTGTTTGAACCTTAATATTTCTAGAATAATAGATATTTGATTTCTGCAGATTAATTTTCTGCCCCAAGCTGTTGCAGAATTTTTGGAGAGTATTCTGAATAGTCCCAATTTGGGAGTTGTCTGCTTCCGCAAAGAGCATAAGATCATCTGCAAAAAAGAGGTGAGAAATGTTAGGGCCATTTTTTGATAGTTTAATTGGTTTCCACCTACCTTGTTCCACAGCTAATGTAATTTCTTGCACTAGTCTTTCCATGTAGATGACAAACAGGTAAGGCGAGAGGGGATCCCCCTGTCTAATTCCTCTAGATGGTTTAAAAGGCTCCGTAATTTCTCCATTCCAATTGATTTGGATTGTCGTGGAGGTAATACAATTTATAATAGCCAGAATAATTTTAATAGGGAGCCCCAACTTCTCAATGCTAGCTTTAATAAAGTTCCAATCTAATCTCTCATATGCTTTCTCCAGATCAATCTTGATGGCTAAATACCCCTTCTTTCCTTTCTTTTTCTTCATAGTGCGAATCACCTCCTGAGCTAGGATAATGTTGTCAGTAATAACCCTACCTGGAACGAAACTAGTTTGGCTATTAGAGATGATAGAAGGAAGAATAGGTTTAAGGCGGTTAACAATGACTTTGGTTATAATTTTGTAGGTGATCTGACAAAGGCTTATAGGTCTAAATTGGGTAATTCTATCAGGGTTATCTACCTTAGGGATTAAAAACAAGCACGTTCTGTTTAAAGCTTCTTCAATCTAACCACCATTGAGGCAATGTTTGACTAGATAGCAAACCTTTTCTCCAACCGTGTCCCAATTTTTCTGGAAAAAACTAGCATGAAATCCATCAATTCCTGGAGCTTTTAGGGGGTTCATACTGAATAGTGCATCTTTAATCTAAATATTATCGAAAGGTTTATCAAGCCAACTCCATTGTTCCTGATTCAAGTTAGGAAAAGGTCTACTATTCTCAAGAGAATGCCTTACTAAAGGGTCATTTGTGAAAAGATCTTCATAATATTTCTTCACATGAATTTTGAGCATTTCTTGGTCTTCGCACCAATTATCAGAATCTGTTTTGAGGGTAGTTATAAGTTTTTTTCTACCCTTAATAATAGCACATGAGTGAAAGTACTTTGTATTTTTGTCTCCATGGGTAATCCATTTACATCTCGTCCTTTGAGCCCAAAGAAGTTCTTATTGTCTAAGAATTAAGTCAAGTTCAAGCTTAAGATCATCTTCAAGAGTTGACAGTCTGGTAGAGTTATAACATCGAAGAGTTTTATCAATACCTTTAAGCCTAGCAATTAATTTTTTCTTCTTCTGGTTGATATTACCGAAAACTTCATTATTCCAAACCTTGATGCTTTCCTTGAGATGATTTAGGCTTTCCATAAGGTTATCATGTTTTACCCATTCTTTTTTAATAAACTGCTCAAAGTCAGGGTGGTCCATCCAACCTACCAGGAATCTGAATTGATTCTTTTTATTCCCTTTGGGGTTGTTCATGGTATGCAGAAGAATAGGGCAATGATGTGATCCTATTCGGTCAAGGTGATGAACTCTAGTATCTGGGTATAATTCTAACCACTTTATGTTCATAATGCATTTATCAAGTCTCTGCCATAATATTCCACGTCTCCACGTAAATTCATCACCCTGGTACTTAACATCTATCAAATTGTTATTGAATATGAACTCTTGGAAGTGCTTACTCCCACCTCTGAAGCAATTGCTACCACCAGTTCTCTCATTGGGCTTCAGGATACAATTAAAGTCCCCTCCTAGTATCCAGGGTTCATTATTGCTAGGTTTGAGTTATTCTAGGAGATTCCATAGCTTACATCGAATGTTGGGGCTGGGACTAGCATAAATTGCTGTAAAATAGTTCCAGTAGTTACTGCTACTATCCTTAATGTGCGCATGAACATACTATTTAGAAATACTTAGTATTTTAACTTTAACCGAATTATCCCAAAGTATCCATATACCTCCACTGTGACCCTGAGCTTCGATTCTGAAAGAATTAATGTAGCCCATATTGTTGATAATTCTGTCAGCTCTCTTGCCACTAGTGTGCGTTTCCATCAAGGCAATGATCTTGGGTTTGTGCACCTTCACACAATCTTTGAAATGTCTTCTAAAGGAAGGTTTACCAACCCCTTGAGTGTTCCAAAAAAGAATCTTCAAAATTATTGAGGTAATTGGTAGGTGCTTTGTGGCACCTCTTTTTCCTTCTGTTTTCCTTCTTTGCTCTTCTCCAGATCAATTTGCTTCATCATTTGAGCTTGATTGGTTATAGGAGTGCTATTATCAGGAGGAGCCAAGTTCTCCGAATTCATGGTATTTTCTTGGAACCATTCCGACAGTAAATGAACGTTAGGACTAATAGTAGGTTTAGATTTTCTAACTTTAAAGCTTTTTTTGGTAGTGTGAAAAACTTGTTTTGACTTTTTGTTGAAGTTCCATCTAGAAGTGAGATTCTGATTTTTATTTTCATGAATGGTAATTGCTGTATGTATTCCTTTTCCCACTGTAACTATGTGTTCACTGATTTGAGCATCCTCATTCACTGTGACCTGGATCCCTCCAATATTCACCTCCTTAGTATTATCTTTACTCTCAACCATTTCACTATCAGTGGTAGGGACCTCAACTAATCTATCATCAATTTCAAGGTTAGTGTGAGTATTTTTTTTCTGGGTCCGGTCTGTAATATCAGTTTGAGCTGCTGTGTTCTTGTTTCTCATTATTTCTCTCTCTCTCCTTCTGTTCTTCATCTTATCTGTTGCAATGTCAGTTCTTGTAGCAGGTGCTTGTATATCCTTTTCATTTCTTTGATGCTGGTAAGCTTTATTGCTTTCCCTGGATTCTTCCTCTAAATGTTCTTCCTGTAAGGGGGTGAATCTTGATCCTTGTCTTGATGATCCTTCAACCTCTTTGTTTCTGATTTGAGTTCTTTGCAATCTACTGTTTCTTCCTCTTGGTTGAACAACCATCCAAGGACCAAAGGGATTTTCTTTATTTATTTCAACATTGGCTTGTTCTTCAATAACATTTTTACTGTTGGATGTATCCATCTGCTTCTCTTCTTGGTTGATTTGACAGACTTCTTTTGCATGTCCATAGGTACCACAGTTGAAGCAGATTTGTTGCAGACCTTCATATTCAATCTTTTGGATGAAGTCATCAATTCCCACACATAGAATAAGAGGTTTGTTTAGGTCGATAACAACTGCAATTCTTGCAAATTTTCCCCTCTCTCCAACTTTAGTATTGTAGTCTATTTTGATAACTCTTCCAATTGTATTCGCAATTTTACTGATTACCATTGCATTGTAATATCTGTATGGTAGCCCAGGCAGTCTCAGCCAGGCTATGACTTGTGAAGGATGCTTTTCAGATGTGGTAAAATTTCTCGACCATGGTTGTACAGTCAGGTAACTTCAATATATCATCCAAGGGCCATCAGTGAGCACTCTATTATAGTCTTCCATGTTTTCAAACTTCACTAGATAGTAGTCATTATCAAGATCTATTAAGTTTAAGTTACCTATCGGCATCCATAAGGCCTGGATTCTGTTTAGCAGCGCTTTATACCCAATTTTCTTTCCCAACAGTCTAGTGATAATGACATGTTTCATGTTTCGATCAATCAGATCATGGATTCGCTTTGAGAAGCTTATTCGAGGAAATTCTCCATAACTGTCCATGGTGACGTCTCCTTCTTGGAATACTATCTCCTCTTCAGTCATCTTGATTGGGGGGTTCAGATTCGATCCCTTGGCAGCCATGGTAGCATAGAAGATTTTCTTAGGACTCTTGAGATGTTTATTGGTGGTAGCTCCTTCTTCTTGGGAATCATCTTCAGTCTGCATATTCTCTGTTTGCTGAGTTGATTCATCATCTTCTATTGTTAATTCTCGATTCTTTACTTTCTTTGTGGCTCTTTGATCTTCTTGGATGCTATTGTTGTTCATCTTCTATGAATGTGAAATGCGTAATCGATTCAAAATTCTTGTTTGATATGTAATGTGTTATATTTAATGACTGACGCAGTAGTTAATTGTGTATTTATAAGTTCGTTTAAAGCAATATAATTAAATTAAGATATTTCAAGGGACCGTGTTCAAAATCGAGTAAATTATATTTTTCTTTAAAAAATTAATAAAAACATCTTGTTTTGAAATAAGTTTACTTCATTGATTTAATTTATTTTTAAAATTTTATTTTAAAGATTTTGAAATTAAAATCGAATTCAAACTTGTTTGAAAACAAAAAAATACATATGACTATCTTAATTTTAAATTGTGGTAGAAGTTCTTTAACTTTTCTCACGCATAATAGGCTTTCAAACCTATTTTCCTTACTCTGGTTTTTAATCAGTCTTTTTTTTTTAATTTTAATTTTAAATCAATTTTCAAAAAACTTTTATAATTGATGATTTTATAGTTGTTCGATCTCATCTCAATACAAAATGATTGATAGAGGCATCCTCCTATTAAAATACGAACTATATTAGAGAAAAATATTTTAAACCTAAAAACGATTCAGAATTATTTCATATTTTTATTATTAAAATAATATTTTATTTTTATTTATCAAATATATTTTGTACTTCTAAAAGTAAGAAATAAAATATATATTGAAAATAAAAAAATTAAAATGTATTTAAGAAATTATTTTTGATTAATCTTGGGTTAATATAAGGTTTTATTGATTCAAAGATGAGACCTGACATTAAATACTCATATTCCTGCATACGCGATGCTCGAACCCAAAATTTCAAGAAATAATAATATTACTTTAACCACTATAGTCGTTTAGTTTGAACATGTTTTCAGAAATTAAATGTTTTAATATTGAATAAAAAATGACAACAAAACATGAATTGCTAATGAATCCGCAATAGGAAGTGGCAACAAAACCATGGCTCGCTTGCATAAAAATGATGCGGCAATTCAAAATGGCAACAAAACTCCATGGGCACAGTACTATAGTGAAATATTTACAACCCATAATAGAGTTGATTTCAATGAATTTCTGGATCATCAAATCGCTCGCTAATGTCATTATCATGGTTGTTGGAATAGCTTCAAGGCAGTGTATCTACCTTTGTTTCATCAGAGCTCAGTAGTCAATTGATAAATGTTAATTGCACTTACCAGTCTATATGATATGGCAGCACACACCACACCAACATAACGTGGTTCAGACATGTTGATATTGACTCCTCTGAAAAACCAAGCACATGTGAATTGTCATTTTAGAGGACCCGAAAGATAAGTCCTAAATAATTTGGCAAAAGTTTCAGTTTCGACAGGATGACAGTAATGTTCCTTATTCTAAAGAATGAGGTTTTAAAACTACATTGTATGGGTACAGGAAGGTACAATATAAAAAAATAAATTTTAAAAATTGTAATTTGAAAATTTGTAATTATTACAAAACCATCTATTAGTAGGGATGACAATTTCACCCGCAACCGACGGGTTCCGACCCGATCTGACCCAATGGGGTCGAATTTAAAAAAAAATTGGGTTTGGGTCGGGTTGGGTCAGATTTTTTAAGGGGTGAAGTCGGGTCAGGTTGGGTTCGGGTGGAGGGTAAAAAAACTTCGATCCGACCCAACTTGAGGATAATAATGTAATTTGCTTTAAAAAATTATTTTTATTTTACTTAAATCCTTAATTTGTATCGGCTCGGCTCAAGTCGGGTCATATTTATCTCTAAATAATTGGGTTAGGTCAGAGTCGGGTGGAGGGTATATATTTTTCGGGTCGGATCGGGCCAAATGTATGATATAAAATTTGCGGGTTTAGTTGGGTTTGGGTGAAGGGTGCATATTTTCGGATCGAGTTGGGTTGATCAACCTAACCATAACCTGACTCGTTGCCATCCCTACGTATTAGACATGTATTCAGCTTTCTTCATACACTATTTTCGTTAAAACAAACATATCTTAAGTTTTCTAAGTCTGATTATGTAACGCCCGAAATTGTTTGGGCTGACCTGAGTGGGTTAAGGATAAACTCATGAGTCCATCATGAAGCTTTTGGCCAAGGTTGAGATTGTTTGGGATTAGATCAAGCCTAAATGAGTTTAAAAAGGGTATTTTCCCTTGATATCATAAGAGGAGGGACCAAGAGGGTATTTAACCCTTTTGTTGGTGCAAAGATTGAATCCCTATTAAATGAGATTATGTCACACATTGAGAAGGCTCCATTTTATTGTCTTCTTTTTCCTTTCAAATGTTCATCTTGCAACTCTTTTAGCTAGATCAAAGGTGGAAACCTTCTAGACCAATATTCCAAGTACGAGTTTTTTATGGTAAGAAGTGTAATAGTCTCCCCTTGAGTTTCTCTTCAAGCTCTTCACCTTAAAGTTTGGCCATGGTTGCGAAGGTGTGGATTTTTTAGGGGCTTTGAGTTTTTAAGTTTAAGAGTGATTCTAGTCTATCTTTAATATTTAGGAGTCACATTTCTATCTCTCCTAAGTCCTTTTATGGATAAATAATTTGTTTCCTTTCTTGTGATTAGTGAATGAGTTGGGTGGCAGCTATAAAAGCAAGGGTAAAGAGAAGTTAGTGCTTAGGGTGAGCTTGTGGTTGTTCCTCTAATAGCTAGTAGTAAGGTAAAACAACTATAACCCTTCTATAATACTTATAGATCAACATGTGTAGTTGCTAGCTTGTATGACTGCATGAGGCATTTTGGATGCATTTGTGTTCATGAAAGGGATAGGATATTTTAATGTTGTTCATGCATAAATAAATGACCTTTTATGATCCTTGAACCTACATAAGCTTTTAATTACATTTGAAGGCCTTGTAAGGACCTTTAGTTTGAGTAAGTGTGTTTTACTCATGAAAATATAATTTTTTTTCTGGGTAGTGTCGATACCTTGTTCATTGGGTATCAGTATCATAAGGCAATTGCAAATTTAGTAGCCAAAATTGATACCTCTACTAAGGCAATTCTAATACTACAAAGAGGGTGATATCGATACTCTAGGTATGGGTATCGATATTGGGGTATTTTTATAAACAATCAAATGTAAATTTGATATCGATACTCGAGGCAATATCGATACCACAAGAAAGATTAGTACCCGATACCACGAGGCTAAGTATCAATATCATCGTGAATGCAAAGGCTAGAAGCATTGATTTAATTAAAGGACTCGAAAATGGGTTAGGGTTGATGATAACCTCTTAATAAAAGCTTGTAAATGAGAACATTAACAATTGTGTGATAACGTAAGATCATTATGAGGTAACATTCCATAAAACTTATATCTTGTTTGATGCTCGGGAAACAACAAGGACACTTGAGTTATTTTTGTATGATGATTATTTAGTCGCGTATGGATTATCTGGATATATCCAATAAGTGCAAGGGCACTTAAGATTCTAGTTGGACATTACTCTGGTGCTCCATAAATCAAACATGTCTCATATAGTCAAGAGGATTAGACTAGCCGAGTGATAACTTTCTAGAATAGTTATTATTTATGACTTTTTTACATAGGTTGAGCTTGAACTTTAGCATCATTAGGATCATTTAAAGTTTATTTTATCATATTTTACATCATTTGCATATTGATAGTAATTTTATATCTTTTGTGGTATTTTATGATGTTCTCCTTGTGACATTGCTTGATGTTGTAGATGTTGTTGTGAATCGATGCTAGACTAGATTACTGAGCAGATTCTGCAACAATTAACGAGTCATCAGAAGATTATAGACTTTTCTAGAATATGGACAATTGTCATATTAGTTGTAATATGACTGAAAATCAATGGAAAATTAGAAAATACCTGATTGGTTGAAGCTTTGACTAATTCGACCTATAAATGGAGGAGGATGTCACCCTTTTTCATGCTCTATTCTTCTCCATAATATTTTTACCAATTTTATTTCTTTAAGGAAGCAGCCATGATAGATTAAATCCATTACCAGGGAAGGTATCAAGTAGACATGGTGTAGCTCTTAGAAGTGGTGTCTGATTGATTGTGTTTTATCTATTCTTTTTATTTTAATACGCGAGAAGGGAAAAATATTTGGTTTAAGTTGAATGTTTATTTTAAGATGTTTTGTTACATTGGATCTTATTTTAATATATACTATGGATGCATGTAGGGATGGGCATTGGTCAGGTCGGGTCGGATTTTTGACCTATCAGACTCCGACCCAAAAAATATTACTCTCCACTGGGGGTGCTTATTGAGCGAGTTGATCGTGAGTTTGACAGCGCTCGACTCGTTCTCATTAAAAAAATTTGTTGGTTGACTCGACTCGTTGCTCGTTACGTTCGTTAAAATTGTGCTCTACTCGTGCTCATTAAAAAAATTTGCTGCTAAGCTCGACTCGTAGCTCGTTATTTTTATTATTTATTAATAAATTAATAATTATTATCTAGATTTATTTTGTGAATGAAATAATTTTTAAGTAATTACTAAAAATATATTTTAAAAAATTAACGAGCTGCTCGCGAACTTATTGAGTCGAGTTAGACTTTGCTCGGCTCAGCTCGTTAAGGTCTCAAAACGAGTTCGAGTTGAACCAACTGGAGTCAAAAGTAGCTTCCTCGTCCTTATGATTTTGCCAAAGCACTTTGAGTAGAGGAATCGTCTTGCTATGCAGTTATTTGATTTCTCGAGCCAAAATTTGTACTGAACTGTCTTCATAAGTCAAATCTAGTTGGATCTCAATTTCCTCTAGTGCAATGACATGTGAAGGATCCGATCGATACTTTATAAGCATCGACACCTGAAAAACGTTATGAACTTTGTCTAACTCTGGAGATAATGCTAACTTATAGGCCACCGATACGCCTCTCTTTAAGATCTCATAGGATCTAGTGAATCTTGGGCTTAATCACACATACCCTCAGCATATCCTCTAATATCTGAATAGTCTGCTCTGACTGACCATC